ATTTCCGGACGACATGCTATACTATGACATTTTTTCATCATTTTGGACGACATGCTATATACAGTGAGTTTTTCCATGATTTTGGATGACATGCTATACTATGATTTTTTTTTTTTTTACGATTTCGGGCGAGATGTTATACTATGACATTTTTTCATGATTCCGGATGTCATTCTTTACTATGACTTTTTTAATGATTTTGGACGATATATTGTTTTTCATGTTTTTCACTTTTCTAATGGCACTTTTTTACAATTTTTTTGGTGTAGTGTGCTATGTGCAATACTAGTTTTTTAATGACATTTTTATGGCAAACTATCCTGTAACTTTTAATGATTTTTATATCGTACTTTACTATGAATTGTTTATGGCATACTTAATCATGTTATAAAATGTCATACTATACTATGACAATTTTTATTAATGACGATTATGGTTAAGTTACTTTTACTTCATATTTAGTTGCAGTTGTTTTCCATTTTGAATACCCTTTGTGTTATTTGGTATGGCTAAACCACCATAATGTTCCCTCATGTGTCATAGTGACAGGTCAGTTTGTTGAGTTAACACGTTGTTTTGTTGTTACACTGAGTATAGTTATTTTGTGTTGACCTCTTTTCTAGGCCTGGTGGTTCAGTTATTGGTTTGTAATGTTTCATGCATTTTTGGGGATAAATAAACTCAAATTTCTGTCAACAACCCCTGTATCCTCACTGATTGGTCCCAAACACATTTAATTATATAAAACACAGATAACAAATTCTTTATATTTTTGTTGCATACTTTACTATGACTTACTACTATTACTATGGCTTTGACAAATTAAACTACACATTTTTATAACATTTTTAGGGCATACTATAACATTTTTTTTTGTAAATGTGTGACTTTAATCTAAGGGAGCTTCCTAGTTTTTAATGCAAATGTATGACTTAATAATGCCAGGGAATATATGAGCATTTTCTCTTAAATTTGTGAGGGTTTTTTCCCCCATAAATTTTCTACTTGAATGTCAGAAATTTTTTTCCTTGTTAAAATAGGATGTAATTTTAGAAAATCACCGGCCTTTCCCCAGCTCTGCATTATTATCATTATTATTATTATTATTATTATTATTATTGTTGTTATTTCTATTTATTTATTTATTTATTTTTGTAAAAACTGTGATGGTCCTCATACTCTGTCATAGGTCACAGCCGAAAAAGTGGGAGTACTATATTTCCTTCAACTGTTAATGGATCTATTCCTTCTGGAAGGCGTACAGTAGAAAATGATTGGCACTGTCAGTTACAGCCAATCTTGCCATGAATACATGTGATAATTGTTTTGTATATTAACACTAGTGTTAAATTGCCATAGATATGTTTTGGTCACCAAAATTCTTGGCGGTAAAAAAAGCACAAAACCACGGAAAGTACGCTCCTCTCACACTGTGCCAAATATCTGTAAGCAGCTTAGCAAAATGCTACAAGTGATTTTGGCCACGAGCCACTGGCAGTGATACAGACAGACACACTTCCAGAGCACTGATGGAAAGTTTGAGCTCTGGGTGCCATGTTGAAATACTCAGTGGATAAGTGACAGTGCTTTAAGACTGACACTGAAATCCATCATGTGTAATTATGTATATCACAACTTAAGCTTTGTAATAATATGCTGAACTGTGCAATTCAGCAGTTACTTGGATTTACATTCTCGCCATCACTGTGCAGACTCCTGATGCTGTAGGACATTTTAAAATACTGGTGTACGTTTTTAAATTATCTGGCAACGCAGAAATGCAGAAAAACATGACTACCATCAACACAGCGCGTAGATAAGCTGTCAGAACACAGGGTTACTCACACAGTGTGTCAGATCTCAGTGAGCTGCTGAGAAACGTGCTGGGGCCTTTCATGGAGGAAGAAAGAGCAGCCAGTCTCAGGCTCCTGGAGGTGGCGTCCAGTTTCTCATCCTGAAAGACAGGAGGACAGTAACTGTTAAACCCAAATCATCCACTGACTAATCAGAAGGATTGGGATATCATCCACATTTCCAAGAACTGTGGGTTTGATAAGACACGTGTATTTCCATTCTGCCTATCAGTACCTAACTTAAGTTTTTTTAATTCAGTCACAAGACAGGGAACTGCAGTAAGCATTTCACAGTCCACAAAAGTTGCACACCTCTGCCAGGACCTAGTACATGGACTTACAGGGACACTTCACGCACAAAATGAGCATTTTTAAAATCAGTTAGTTATGCTGTGTTACCACAAATTTGTAAAGAAAACAGTTTCTTTGCATGCCTTCTTTGAAAACGGCGAACATATTGATTTAGCAGGTGTTAGTGGTTTATTTGCACAGTGGCAAAGAGGATATAGACTGTATAAATAATGGAAGTAGCGAACGTGACATTATACATGGGTTTGAAGCCTTGAGTTTGGCATTTCTGCTGTCGCTATCTTGGCTTTCTGGAGCCAGAAGTAACCATATTTGGACGAGAGGTTGGAACTGTGGAGGAATGAGGGGTGGATCTGACTTTCAGACTGCAACGACCGGTAGCAACACCTCGCAGACATCCTGTCAATCAAGCAGCTCTGCCCTTAAACGTGTGTAACTTTGAGCCTTGATGAAATGTAAATGAGTTGTAAAAAAATTCACCCCCTGTACAGCTGTCATGAATGTTGAAATTAGCTGTAGAGACCAAAACCAGGCTGTAAACATGTTTATTTCTGCTGTAAAGTTGGGCATTGTCACATGGGGTCGATGGGGATTGACTGGAGTCAGCCTCAAGTGGCCATTAGAGGCACTGCAGTTTTTGGCTTCATTTCTCATCCTCGGTGCCGCTTCAGTTAATCCAAGTCTCATTTATGCAGTTGTACACTCAGTACTTCCCAAACACAAACTTTAGTGTTGAGTCTGACTTTGAAAAGAGCAAAGATGAGTTTAAACAGTAACTTCTTATTGTAATGTGTTTGGGAAGTACTGAGCACACGACTGGATAAATGACACTTGGATTATGCTGCACGAGTTCTGTGAGACTTTGTAAACAAGTCTTGTTGTTGTCAAATGTGGTCTTTAGTGAATCAATAAATCAATATGTTTGTGGTCTCCCATGGATATGTGAGACAAACAGAGTTTTCTTCACAAATTCCGAATCACAATACAAACTTTGGTGCCAGACTGTGTGCACAGAGAGCGCACACAGCTGAAAGAGGAAAAGAGACAGAGAGCTCTTGTGTGTGACAGTGAGGCTGCAGTGACCAGAGCAAAGAGAGTGAAGTTAATTTGTTATGTGAATTTGCTAATGGTGTTTTATATTCATATGAATATAGTTAAGTATACTTAAAGCTGTGAGAATTTATATATTGTTTAACTTGAAGTTCAAATTTGCCTTTGCAATAAAACAAAAGCTGTTACTCGACATCGCTGACTGTCGTTTTGGGCTTCAAAAGCATTGGTTCAGGCACCGGTGCTGTTTTGAAATCATCGTTTTAGTACCAGTATCAGAAAAAAAATATCCCAAACAATACCCAACCCTACAGGGCATGACTACCTGACATACAAGTGGTAATTTTGTAGGTGAAGTATCAATTTAACGTCACAGAATTTGTTACGCAGTTTGTCAACAAAGCAGGTTTTGTTTGTATATAAGATCCCCCATTAGCTTTCAACTGTAGCAGCTATTCTTCCTGGAGTCTACGCAGTTATATGGCGACATTATAAAATATGCATTCACACTTCACATCACAGTACAGTCAATAACACATCATAATGAACAACCACTGTGAGTGAAACAATAACAGTCGACATAGTTTACATAACACAGAGAAAATAAACCGCCTCTGACTGAATCCATCACAATCTAATGGATAAACATCATGATTTTAATTTATTGGTTAAGTAAAACAACCTCCAACAGCATGCCTTAATGTGAGAGGAGACATTTTTGTTTACATCCTAGAACATGGCTGCCAGCTCAGAAGTTTGGCTTAGCTTCACTAAAAAAGATAACAGCAAAGCATAAACAGTAAGTCAGATCTGATCATGGAATAATTAGTGAGATATTACATCTGTCTGTTGGTCCAAAGACTAACTGAGGATGTGCCGCATCACTACATCCCTAACATGGCTAAACTTCACAATGTAAAATCAGCAGTAAATCTGTGTATAAGGTGTGTCTCACAGTACCAGACTTCACAGAGCACAGCGACACAGACACATTCAAAGCACCTTTAAATGAGAGTTGTGGGCCAGATTCAGCCGCCCACAAAATGCTTGTTTCAACATCCCAGGAGCTCCACACAACCATAAAATATTCTGTTTGGGAAGTGAGTGATTTGAGTCCCTGTATGCACCGTGTGCAACCGTGTATGGTAAAAGCTTCTTTTACAGACATTTATTTGCCTGTAAACACGGCGGCACAAGTGTCCCAGCCTGAACAGATATCTCTTAATATTCTGTGATTCTGTTGCAAGGCCTGCCAAGTCACTGCTGCCTCTTCAAGTTTGACACATATTACAGATTTCTTTTATCCTGTGTTTATAGATCATTAACATTACAGATGTCCTGTAATGACAGGACAAGAACCGAGCCAACAAATAATCCCGTCTGAACGCAGCTTTAGAAGCTTGTGTTTCAAGCAGAGAGCCGCTGTTAGGTTCAGTGTAGACACTGTTTGTTGTTGTTGGCATCGCTGACTCGGATCAAGATGGAAGTCTTGTAAGGACCCTCCATCCATCCGTTTTCCTTAAACAAACCCCGGATGGGCAGCAGCTATTAAGCTAATGCAATCGCCACTTATCACTCAACACGGGAGTCATTTGGCAAACCAACGGGGTAATCTGGCAGATTAAAACCATTTAAAAAGTGACTGTATGGCTGTTGAGGGGTGGTTGCAAACTGCTGATGGCAATCAGCTGTCAACAATGATGTCTTGATGGCTCCCCTGACTGCTTTATAGCACAGAAGATGGCTGTAGCAATTAACACAGACTGGTAAAATTTAGGTTTTGTCTGAGTGTACAACTGTGCCATTACTCCAGCTTGTCCCACTCTGTCCATCCGTGATGCATTACCAGCATGTGAAATTATTCATTTATTCATACAAGTTGCAAATTAGGTGCGGTGCACACATTGGCACCGGTGTGGGCGAGCTAGACTCATAAATGGCTCTCAATGTCAGGCTATCCTTATCCAAACGGCTGCTGTTTGAACAAAGCACCGCAATTAGGGACTGAAATAGAAAAAAAGTGTGGGTTGCTGTTTGGTAGTACAGGCTCCTGTACGGCATTATAAAGCTCATTTTTCTAGAGTACAGGACTGTGTGTGTGTGTGTGTGTGTGTGTGTGTCGTACTCTGTACTCCTGGATCCTGCGTTTGGACTCGTCCAGCTGGTGCTGCAGGTCCCAGACGATCTCTTTGTATTTGGTGTAACGCTGCTCTACCAGCTCCCTCTGTCGCTGTGACTCCTGTTAGCACAAAATGGAGGCTGTGTCACTGGAACCAGTCACAAAAGACACAACTGTCCACAAAGATACTGCTGGTCACTTTATCAAAAAAAAATTTTTTTTTCTCATATTTGCTGAAACTGTCACTATGACCACACAGACATTCATGAGAGATAATCTGTGAAAACAAATCATGTTCCTAGCTGTGCTTCTCATGGCATCACCGGACCTGAACGAAAACAACCAATCAAAGTCGAGGAGTCTCTACCGCAGCTGTCAATCATGTCAATCATTCTGTGAACTGAGGTCAAACTGTCAAACTAGGCAGCCCTGATCAAATCTGAATCAATATTCTGTTACTGCGTTGCATATTTCTCACCTCAAGTGTTTTCAGAAACATATATTACACCCTTTTTCATTGGCATTTTTGGCGGCGCAGAATCAAACCATGCCGCCCTAATTAGCATTTACTCAGTATTAACATGCTGAGCCACGTCAGGGATGGACCTTTCCTGGAGTAGGGCCAAAAACGCACCTGACCACTTCCACGTGGGTAGCGGTGACGCCTGCTGACCACCAGTTAAATGCTATTCTTTTTTATAAAAACTATATTCTAAAGTTTAACTAATGAGGTTTCAAATTGGTAGCACTGTCACAATACACAAAAAAAATACACAAAGGATAATAAAAAAATAAATCATATATAGTGCTAAATTTCAACATTGACCAATATCAAAATATCAATTAATTTTTGCCACATCATCCAGCCTTATCTTTCACACTAGCTAATGCCGGTTCAAGACAATTCCTTAGTGATTATCTGCAGGGTATTCATTTAATGCATCTTTATGTTTTTATGTTTTACTACTGCATCCAGTGTTGGTAATTTGAGGAAAAGAAAATGAAGTTTATCGAAGAACTTTGTAACCACTGTATTCAGGTTTTTAAAAAAATATCCCACCTCCAAATCTTTAAAGTTCTCCATCAGACATTGTTTCTCTGGAATCGACTCCAGGTGGTCCAGGGCGACTCGTGTGTTCTGGAAAACACACACACACACACACACACACACACACATAACACATAAAATAATTTAATTTACATGACAATATTAGTGTCTTAGTTTGTCTGACAGGCACATTTAGCCATTTAAGCCCAGCTGTTTAAATCTACAAACACCAAATACATGACGAACTGTAGAGTTTTCACTGAGAAATTAATACAAAATCTACGTTTGTGCTAAAATCTTAAAAAATATGTTCAATAATGCATCTGGAAGTGATTATTGGAACAAGAACTCTTAAGAAGGATAGTGAGGAGGATAGTCTCATTTTAAAAACTAAGAAAAAACAAACAAAAAAAACCCCAAGACTCCCTGAATCATAAATCACCTTGTAAGGGACAAGCAGAAAACACAACAATACAAAAACTAAAAACAAATGTAGGGTTGTCCACAGGTAAATACCGGGGCTGCATCTCAATTCCCTTAATTGTCTCCCTGTTTCCCTCAAAGATAAAAGAGAGTGAAGCGAGGAAGGAATAATGGATGAAACGCACATTTAGTGAAATCATTCCCAGTCAAGGGTCACCTGAAGGGATGATTACTGATGACGGCTGCACAGCTGGATCAGCTGTCCGTGGGCTCTAACTGCTCTGTGGCGACTACTGATGCCTTTGTGTTTGCAGAGATAATCTGGGATGTACTGCTCAAATACAGAGGCAGAACAGCTGATACTGTTTGCTCTGTTATGTATTATTTATGTCCTCCCACATGACAAAACAGAGTGTGAAATATTTACTGATGTTGTCCTTTTAAACTGTATCATAAATATTCACGTGTGCACAACACACCTGTGTTTAGACTGAGCACAGATCAGGTACAGTTGTAAATATATTATTTCATATGTTCAGATATTTAATCGGTTCAGTGTCAGACTGAAAATAGAAATGAGAGTGTAACGAGTAGTGATGTAATAGTTCACATGATATGCACAGCAGAGGAGATACTAGCACACCAATGCAGCTGAGCTGGACAGCTACATAAAGGTCCACAGGTGTTTCATTTCATTTTCAGTCCTTGACTATCATTAGCGCTACTGACAAGAGCTTCACAGAGCAGATACAGACACAGACAGGTTCCCACCAGGTGTGACGAATCAATCAGCTGGTGTCACTAATTAGATGAGGTCATCTCTGAGGAGTATTTTACTATTCCGAACATCCTCAAACACCAATGTATGACAGCAGAGCATTAAAAATATATAAACGTACAAAAACATGACTGCACACAGAATAATAAAAAAGAAAGGACAAAATACGACAGCAGGTCCAAAGGGGGCCACGCTGGTACGTACACATGTACATGTCTATAAAAAGCAGGACAAATTCAGTGTTCTACTTTCACCCTGCAGGAGTTTTGTTTCCAGATCTGTATGTCTGTGGCGAGGGTTAAATACATCAGTGCCACAGAACCTGAGAGCAGTAGTTGGATGTCTGGCCTCCTCAAAGTGTCTCGCTACGGAGGATTTTGGATCTGCTCTGTAGAGTTTTGACAGTATGATTTTTTTTATTTTTTTTTTTTAGAACAATGATGGGGTTATACCTGAGCAACCCGTCCTCCGGGGTGTCTTTTTAGCAGTATATAAAATAAAAACAGCTCCTTAAACAATATTAAATATAGTTTTGTAGTTATAAACAAACACAAAGAAACAGTTTTGTTTCTGAAATGAAGAAAAAAACTTTTTTTTTATTCCAATGTATTAAAACTAACATCATAATTTGGGCCTTTTTTGTGCAAAGCAGGAATCACAGTCTTGTTGAAATGGGCTCATAGAGGAGTATTTTAATGGGGCTCAATTACATTAAGCATGTTAGTAGCCTGCGTTTTCCACAACAGAGCCGAGTCTCATATCCACAGCTATAAATGTAACATTACCAATTGCCGAGATGATTTCCTTTCTGTTTGAATCAGTTGGGACTGGCTACCTTAAAGCTGCAAGGTTAACTTTAGCTTGTGTTGCTCCTTGTTTTCGTCTATAGTTCAACCTGCTAACACACACAAGGGGTGAAGTCAGGTGACTGTGTTGACATGTCTGAAGGGTTCCCACTGATGTCACCTAATGTATAGCAGATTGAACACACTGTTTTTTTGTGGTTCCTAACACCAGACCTGCAGGTGATTGGAGGATCTGGTAATGGTGTTACTAACCATATTGCAATGAGCTAGCGTAGCGCAGCATGGAGTTGAGCGTTCTGCTTTGCATGTTGCTTGTTCTGTCTTTGGGCTGCCTTGCTGAATGCAACTGCACTGAGAACGAGGGGTGTGCCATATCGTCTCATTCACAATAATACCGGTATAATTTTTAATATGATGTGAAAAATTCATGTCGTGGTACTCACAATATTTCGACTTGTTGACATTGACGTCATACTGTTACCCACGGCAACAACAAGCGAAATTATTACCGATTCTGCAGTGGTTCCAAAAAGAGGAGCAGCTTCAGTAGTGTGGAATAAACTGTGGTGTCCTCTTTTAGCGAGTTACCACTCAGAGGGAACTCATTCAGCGGCTCCTCTGGCAGCAGCACAGTGTCTCTCCCTCTCCTCTCTCGCTGTGCATCAAGTGATTCTGTCATAAACATTTAGTAATGTAAACCTACGTGAAAAAACTCCATATATGTGACTGTGTGATAGTTGTGGTATCATAACAGCCTGTCACAGGTTACAGCGTGATGATTAGAGGAGAAATGGCAGAGCACAAAGGTCCAGATGAAGCAAACTGTGAAACTATATCACTTATTTTGTTGCAATTCAATTTTCTTAAATTAATAATATATATTTTTTACTAATTAGTCATATCGTCGAGAATATCGTTATCACAAAAATAACCTGAAATATGGTGATGTTATTTTAGGGCCATATCGTCCACCCATACTGAGAACATTATATTAAACAGTTTTAGCTTTATATATTGGGATAGTTCAACGAATCGTTCAGTTTGTAATGCGTACCAAACCAAAAGCCTCGTACTGAATAGCTCAATACAAATGAGCATGTTGCTACACCCCCAATAACGAGTTGATGATTCTGTCTGACATCAGGAAACTGAGGATATGGATTAATGTGGAAAAGTGGACTATGCTGCAGATGAAATAGAAATAAATTGAACCAGGCATATTGTGATAGTGTTGGACCTTGGAGACAGTATTTTTAGTGTAGTATTCCTTTAACATGAACAGCTCTGGTAAATATTGATGTTTGTTTTCTGCTGTGTTAAACTGGTATGTTTGTGAATGCAGTTCATAATATTTCCCTTTCAAACCTACATGGCGACAGATATGAAGTCACTCTACCCGGTCATTCAGAGGCTGATTGAGGACTTTTGTGACAACACACTGAGCACAACCTTTGATTAACTAACTACTCTGGCTGTACTCCATTCTTTTCATCCCTCCACTGTACTTTCAATAGCCTTCCTATTCCCATTCAGATGGAGCATTTAAGCATCAAAAGAACTGGTTGTTAACACGGCGTCACGCTGATTGCTACACTGAATGGCACACTGACAAACAGCTGAGACTCGCTGGTTGATCTCCACCACCCAGGCTGAGTGGAGGATGAGTCGATGCATGCTGCCGCTGTGTTGTTGCAGTAAGCAGAAATTATCTGACCTGATCGTGGTTTGAGGTATTTCCTCTTCTTTCTCACGACAGCTCATTTAAGGTTGAAGTGGCCAAGCGTGCCACATAATTGTGATAGATGGACGGCGTGCGTGAGACAGCTTTACTTATTTATTTTTTCAAGAGAGTAAAAACAGCTTAGGTCGATATAACCGCTCGGTGGTGCTAAGTAATTTCAGGCTGGGATCTAATAGCAGAATAAGGATGTTAGTGTGGACGTTAACGGCTCGGATGGTGAGGTCAATACTGTATTGTCAGTACAGCTCTGTTTTTGACCCTGTCAGCAAGACGTATGATGATTAACAGAGCTCTGAGCCTTGACTAAAGCAATCATTTCTAATCCTGTGTTAGCCTCTATGGGTTGCTAGACAAACACAGCCTGAGGTGAACATGCCTTCACAGCTGCTCTGAGTCAGGCTGAGAGTCAACATCACTTCTAATTTAATAACTCGGGGGCATTTCATAAATCCAAGTTTTATAAACCTGGATATACATACCGGGGCTGTCAGGGTTTAGATTCTAAATTGAACATTGTTCATACAGACAAAATTAAATTCAAGGACTTTCAAGTGCTTCACTCAAAGCAACTAATTACTTTTCAAATATAACTTAATTAAATAAATGATATGATGAATGTCTTTTTTCAGTGAGGAGTAACTTATCACGCTATTTGTAGGCATAACTGTATAAAATCCTCAACAAAAACATTTGAACGACATGAGAACTACGGTGTTTATACGACTATAATGCATCATTTTCTAGCGCTTTGAAAAGTTCCAATCATATACAGTATATAAAGATGAACGACACGTCAGCTCCCCAGAAGTGAAGCCAAAACATCTCATTCGCCCCCTGGTGGCTGGCTGCAGTACATGTCATAAACCCCACCCCCTCCATGCAAGCAGATGACACACGGGTCAAACAAAAAAATCAAAGTACATGTCAAATAATGTTTTCACACTGATGTTTGTTTACGTGTTTGTTTTTCTGATGAGTTAGGTTTTAATAAGAAGATGCTATAAAAAGGAGGTGTGACATCATGACTGACAGCTGCGTGTGCCAATCGGTGCTTCCGCAATCAGTGGCTCTGCTCGCGCTTGGTTGGACAAGTATATGGGTGGGCACTCCATACCTTAGAAATCGCTACTGCTCAGACTCTGGCTCTAAATGACATCACCAGCGAAAGATGTCAGCAGCCGTAAGCAGACAAGGAATCAAAAAATATTTTGCAAACGGTGTGGCTAATCAATTTTGTCAGGAAAAATGTGAAATATAAAAATACCAAAATTCACTGGAGTGGGGCTTTAAAAATCAATGGAGAATCGTGACACACCTACGTATTTCATACTAGTTCTATTTACCTGCTATAATGACTTTGATTATAAAGATAAATAAACTTACCATCTCCAGATCCAAAACGCGATCCTGTGAACACACACAAACACAGCAACATTACTTCATATGCATTGAAAAATAAAGTGTGAATCAAAACCAAAGTGAGGATAAAACTGACACAACGAGCCAGACGGTGAGATCAGGTAACTCTTTACAGTGGGAGATTAGCACAGAGGAAACCAGTGTGTGTTTGTTTGTGAGAATAGCGACAGGAGAGAGGAATAGAGCATTCCAACAAATAGATAACAAGGGAAGGAAACACCAGGGCTAGGGAGAGTGTGTAGCACACAACAGGCTTCTTATCACACACACTGAGACACACACAAACACACAAAGACAAACTGCTCTCGCCGCTCATCCAGCTCCTGACTGATGTTCCCTCTCTAACGATGCATAAGCGATGCTATGCCTCTTATCTGCCACTCAAACACACACCTGCTCCCCCCCGCCAACCGGCTGCCGCTCCCCCTCTGCCTGTAGTATGTTGATGCTTTGTAACAAGGGTACTTTCTTTTCCTCAGCCCACCCTCTGACTTTCTTTTTTTTTTTTTAACTCGTCTACGTCCCTCACTCTATCTGTCTTTCCTCTCTACATCTCTCTCTGCTCATCCTTCATAATTAAAAGCTCGGCTGGGTCTGAGAAGGCTGATTAATTGCATGCAAGCTCTGGCAGGTGCCATCATGCAGCCACAGATGGGACCCCAGAATCCAACAAACACACAACAAACACGCGGTTACAGAGGTACAGACACACGCTTGGAAAGAACGAACACTTAGCAGACACTTTAGTGTGTGAGTGAGTGTGTGTTTCGCTGTTTAATGGCGAGTAAAGGGTTGGCGAGGCGCTGGGGGCCAGTCCAATCCAGACTAGGTGAGTTGGTGGCCTGCCAAGTGTAGATGCTGCGGTACTGAAAGACAGAGACAAGGTCTCTGGTGGCTTTTAAACTCCAAGGCCTCGTGTCTGCAGTAATTAGCTACTTGTCCAAGCAAGGCTGCGAGGAGTCTGTCAGGCCCGCGGCTGTGTGCTAATGTTTGCAGCGTTGCATCACAGAACTCAGAAGCCCAGCAGTTACTGAAGAACACCCCAACAGATATGCAAAAAAGAATCTGAAGGCAATGTGGTGTATAAATAAAAATAGTACCAGCTGTCTCTTTTTGGCAGCATGGTTGAAATCAGGCCAGCTGGATATTAAGAATCTACTGTTTAGGGTGCAGATTTACAAACACAATGAAGACACAAACAGATGAGGATTAATAAAGACATAAACTGCTCACCTGAAGGCTCCTCATTTCTTCCTCCTTCCTGCGACTCTTCTCCAGCAGCTCTGAAAGAAACATGTTGATGAGTTGAGATGGCAGCAGATTCCCCGACCCAGTGTCAGAGTGCTGACATTCAGTTGGGGCATGTGTCGGCTTTATTCTCCATCTGTATAAAGTGCTGTGTACTTTTTATTTTACCCCATGCAAAAGAAAACCATTAAAGGAAAGCTGTCATCCAGGATTTAGTAACACTTTATAAATCTTGAAAATAACTGTTATTTGTTATTAAATATTAAATATACAGACAAGCTTCTGAAACTTGTCGTATTAGTTGGTTCATATTTATGCTCATTTATTTATTAGTGCAAACTATTTTCTCACTGTTTTTAGCCTGTAGACAAATATGTCAAGGAGCCGATCCTTTACAGGGATTAAAGCCAAAAATAATCTTTTGACAATTTTTTTTCATGCAGCAGCCAAGTCATATATCCCATCTGTAATTTGTAAAACATAAACTTGAAGCCTGTTAAACAAATAACACAATATTCAAAAGATTAAAGATTTCAGCACCATTCCACACAAAACCATCAACTACTGTTCTATAATGCAGCCACAAGTTTAAATATATATGAACTCCAAATGATGGAAAATCGTTGTGGTGACGGAAAACTTTCCCCGAACATATGGTTGTGAAGTTGCTGTTATGAACTCTCAAAGAATCCATAAGCAACGAGAGAGCTAATCCCCACCTGATAAACACATAGACAATTTAATCTTAGTTAAATTAATACCAGAAATTCAGCTAATAAGGAGTGGTGGCAGCAAAAAGTATAGCCAATAGTACTCACCCATATGCTGTGGGAGGCTCAGGTGAAGTTTTAGAGTCCTCACATCCCTTGTCGGAGATCCAAGGGGAGAGGGGGTAGCAACACAACTCCACCTAATGGAGGCTTACAGCGCCCCAGATTCAAACATCCAAAAACACATAATTGAAACCACAAAATATCTCCATACTGCTCGTCCGTAGTGATCCAAGTGTCCTGAAGCCCCGACATAAAAAGATGTTTGGAAAAACGTCATTTAAACTCTGTTTTTAGCCTCATTGTCTCACGGTCTCGCGCAAGCGCACACACGTGAGCGCGGTCCACAGAGAGGCACTTAGAGCTGCAGGCTACAATGAGGCTAAAAACAGAGTTCAATTGACGTTTTTCCAAACAACTTTTTATGTCGGGGCTTCAGGACACTTGGATCACTACGGACGAGCAGTATGGAGATATTCTGTGGTTTCAATTATGTGTTTTTGGATGTTTGAATCTGGGGCGCCGTCAGCCTCCATTAGGTGGAGTTGTGTTGCTACCCACTCTCCCCTTGGATCTCCGCAAGGGATGTGAGGACTCTAAAACTTCACCTGAGCCTCCCTCGGCATATGGGTGAGTAGATAATGGCTGAATTTTCATTTTTGGGTGCACTATCCCTTTGACAGTGAGCTAAAACATGTTTCTGAAGACGTTTGAGGCAAGAAAGGGCCTGATCACACAGAAAGCGTTTTGCAGGTTGCCAAAGTTCTTTTACACATTAAGATACCAAACTGCTTAAAAACCAGTGAAGTATCTGTTTAACTGGGACAGACACACACCACCAGTACATCCCACAATGACCAGTTCAGTTTCACTCAGTGAGGTATTAAAAAGTAAACTGAGCACAGCAGAGAGAAAACAGACAGCAGTAGTTTGGTCACGTGATGAATGATCCTCATCCCAGTATGTCTCAGACACAGTTTGCTGCCTGTGGATTATTTTCACCCCAACAGGTGGAGGAAAGACAAACTCTGCTTGGGTTTTGTTGTTGATTGCAACACCAAATTGTTTTTAATTACAATCACTGGCTGTTTGCTTAATGAGGTGTTTATTCAAAGGAATAACTCTGATTTCATTAAGCAATAGTCTTATTAAGCAAATGCCACAATATTTACTCAAGTTTACTCAGCTTGGCATTATGCCCGACAGAATTAACTTTGTGCTGCTTTAATGAAATGCTGGAAACACATTATGGAAAGAAGAAGAAATGTTTAAAAACATTTTATTTTTAAGAATCATTAGGAAATACAATCGTAATGTATTAATTGACCGATAAATAATATTTCTTGTGCCAACTTTGGAGGAACAGTGTTTTGTTTTAAAAGGTTAATTCACCAATTTTTAACCAACTTTGTTATAACAATGTGAATAGTATGCGTAGATGAACTGTGATAAACTTCCCTCCATCTAACCAGCGCAGAGATCTCCCTGCTGTTTCCTAGTGAAACTGTAACTGTAATAGCAAGAGTTTGTGAACAGGAAGTGGGCGCCTACTGTTTCCTGCATAGTGAAAACAAAGGCCTATGATGGGTTATAGTGTGATTTTCTCGCCCCACTGACTTCAACACTGACTCCAAAGTCTGGCTCTGTTGCAAACTTTAAGCGCTGTTACTTCCTTCGACTCACTGGTCCATCTACGTCTCAACCCTCACCTATGGTCATGAGCTCTGGTTAGTGACTGAAAGGATGAGATCGTGGATACAAGCGGCCGAATGAGTTTCCTCCGTTGTGTATCTGGGCTCAGCCTTAGAGATAGGGGTAGGAGTTCAGACATCCAGAGGGAGCTCAGAGTAGAGCTGCTGCTCCTTCGTGTCAAAAGGCGTCAGTTGAGGTGGTACGGGCATCTAATGAGGATGCCACCTGGGTGCCTCCTGCTGGAAGTGTTCAGGCACGTCCCACCGGTAGGAGGCCCCGGTGCAGAGACAGAACACACTGGAGGGATTATATCTCATCGGGCTTGGGAACACCTCGGGATCTTTATATGGTTATTTATATTATTGTGGCGTATTGATTATGAATACAGTCCATCTGATGCTGGTTTTGTTTCATCACTGTAGCCAGTATCTCACTATCACTATCCTCATTCAGATTTTAAGAAGCTACAAATTATATTCAGCCACAAAATAAGTCTGAAAAGCTGCAAATCAGAACGGAAGTACAGAGAGTTGTTGACTAGAGATGATACACCGTCTCATCGTGGTCATTTCCTGTCAACATTACAGATCAGAAGTACAGAGAGTTGTTGACTAGAGATGATACACTGTCTCATGGTGGTCACTTCCTGTCAACATTACAGATCAGAAGTACAGAGAGTTGTTGACTAGAGATGATACACCGTCTCATGGTGGTCACTTCCTGTCAACATTACAGATCAGAAGTACAGAGAGTTGTTGACTAGAGATGATACACCGTCTCATGGTGGTCACTTCCTGTCAANTCAACATTACAGATCAGAAGTACAGAGAGTTGTTGACTAGAGATGATACACCGTCTCATGGTGGTCACTTCCTGTCAATGTTACAGATCAGAAGCACAGAGAGTTGTTGACTAGAGATGATACACCGTCTCATCATAGTGACCTGGTGTGAACCGGCAGGTTTTTAAAACATTGCAGAACGGAGCGTTTTAAGTATTTGCCTGTTTCAACTCGTCTAGTTGCAACTCTGGTCTGACCTGGGCACAAGTCCAACATCCAATTACCAGGGGATGACTGAATCTCCACCTCCTCAAGTATGAGTGCATGTACACTAACACACATACATACGACTACACTGGCCAACACACTTGACTCAAACAATTAGCCAAATTTCTGGCAAGCCTTTTAAAATCCACCTTGAAGTGTGGAGCAGAGAAGTGTTCTCTTTGCTGACTCACACCCAGTCACATCTCACCTCAAACTTGTGGGAAGGTCCTATAATAACTGCTGTTATCTGCTCATGCAGTTTTACAGTCTTGTTTTAGAGGGAAAGGCCAATAGTGAGCAAGTGATGAAATCTCTAAAGGAAAGTACACAGACTGCAACCACAATCTGACAGTAATAAATTCAGTGCGAGACAATTACTGTACATCACACGAGGGCTCTGCAGAGTGCTGGCATTAACAGTTAATCTACTGAGATGGGCAGACAAGTAGGTTTAAGGAAAATAAATCTTGTGAGAATACAATTTCCCGTTTGATAATACGAATGGCGGAAAAAAAACAAGAATCAGTTGTGATGTGGACGGGTAATGTTAGTTGTTGTTGCAAATGCATCATGTCACAACTGCTCATCATGACGTACGTATTCATGCATGGTTGGGATTTGTAAGTCTTGTTTTGCTCTGTAATAGTACAAGAGAATCACTGACAAACCACATTACTGTGAAGCCATACTCAAAGCACAGCTGATAAAATCTTAATTCGCACACCTTCAATTCAGATAACCAGATCTTGTAGCTGCCGTGGCACACACTCTTAGGTCTAATTACCATAGAGACCATATCAGTGCTTCTGCCTGCAGTGAAGACAAGACAAAACTACTTCTGTCAAATAGCTGATTGGGTCTAAAGTAAGAGAGAACTGTTTTTCTAAAGGGGGTCCGGAGATGAGGCTGCATCATCAGATGGCTTATCTGAATGGTGTAATGCCTCCACTGTAGCCAAGTAACAGAGTGAAAGTAGAGGGGCACTCTGAGCACCCAGGCCGCATCCAGGGCCAAAAGTCCAGTCTTTTATGATACGTAAATCTGCAAGCACAACCACTACATGCTGTATGTCTGGATTTATTCCAATTAGATTAAATGGAATTATACATAGGGCTGTACCTAACTCAAAATTATGCCAGATGAATCAGATTGGGTTGTTCAATAAGAATATTCGACAATTTGGGGGTTTTTTTCCATCCAAATTTTAAAGATTTAATGGGACCCAGCAGGACGTTCAGTTTGACAGCAGCCTTCACATAATACAGAAAACAAGCTAACTGTGCTAACAACAGGTCTCAACATTTTTTGTCAACACAAGATATCAAACAAAAGCCAGAGACTGTCGTATTAAGTAGCCGTGAGCTGTAAATTCACCACTTCTCGGCAGAAGAGAGACAATAATGTTGTCTCACAGCCTTAAAACCTCTCCGCCTCTGTGCCGCTGCCTGCATGCCTGCAGCTCCCTGTACCAAAGAGCAGTATGACAGCCAAGAGCACTCACACTGCAGCAAAATCTGGGGACCAAAACATCCCTAGAAGTACACTACACAGCACTATGACCGGAAAATAACCCCTAAAAACAACAAGACTGCTCAACTTGAGTTCACTGCTAACACCTGTACTATGGCCAACAGGACACTAATTCAGCAGGTGTCCATCTTCTCCATGTTTTCCTTGATGTTTACTGATGTTAATGTTTGAAAACCTCGACCTGGCTAGCAGAAGTTGGCAGAAGGAGAGTTTACAAACTGGTGGGTTGATTTACTCATCTCGATGACTGACTCACAGCCAAATGCCACCAACATCCAAAGCCTATGACAAAAAGTCCAACCAAGACTTTCAATACAGACATAAGTGCTTAAATTTCGCACAAATTTAGTGGAGCTATCAGAGAGGTGACTGCCATCGTCCGCACCTATTTTAAGTCATTCAGCCCTTCATTACAGGGCTCTTTCAAAGCCCTTCATTGCTTTGAAAGAGCACAAATAAAGTCACACACAATCAAATAAATATTGCTGCGACAACATCAAATTTCTCCTTCAAACAGCTGTATTTATTCAACTTTCTCTTAAAAAACTGAATTTGACAAGATTACATTTAAACATATCATGAGAACACTATAATTTGTCCAGTACTTACCAACAAGAGAGAGCTTGAACGCATCATAATGCAACTCAATGCAACCTCCGTTAGCAATTGGTGCCAGTCACCAGCTTCTAACCGCTAACCGCTAACAGCTAACAGCTAACATTAATTAGCTCTCCTTCAGCTGATTTCAACTTGGAGTTGTTGTTCACAATGTAGCATCATCAGGGAAACAATAGGGTGTGTCCCATGACGCGTCGATAGTGAGTTTACCGTGTCCTTTTGTTCCAACAGCATTCTCGGAAAGAACTTTGTTTTTCTACTGTTCCTGGGACAACTGGACGTAATTTATTTCAAGCCCTGCTTTTCAACTTGCACAAAACTGATTTGAAACGAATCGGCCACTGACATCAGCAAGCGCCATCGTGAGTAGATAATCCAGTCGTCTGTGTGGTTCAGACACTTCACTGATAAACCACAGAATTATACAGTAACACTCAAAACTCCAAACTGCATGGAAACATTGCTTTGTCACCGTGGTAACAAGAACTCCATACCGTCACACCCTTCCACCAAGTTTCATGAAAATCGGGCCAGAAGTTTTTCTGTAATCCTGCTGAAAAACAGACAAGCAGACAAGCCAACAAACGAACCAAAAACATCCACTTCTTGGCGGAGGTAATGATGGACACTTGATTGTCTCTGTCTTCCATCTCCCTGTCCATATCTAACTCTGCCTCTCTCTCTGGTCTCACTGTGTCTTTTAACTCTCTTCCTCTCTGTTAATGGAACACAAATTAGGCCCATTTCCCTGCATTGTTCAGATGAAGCGCTAAAAACAAGTTGTTCTTCCTATGGCAGTTACAGCTCATTAGGAGAAATTCAGTCAAAAATGGGACTCGGGACAGGAAAAACAAGTCCATTTTCTACAGAAGTCTCAAAGTTTACAAGCATTAAGATGCTTTCTCAAACATTTGTAATCATAAACAGACAGGCCAGCGTGCGCCATTGAAAAAACAATGCATCAGATACAGAGGAACAGGCACAGACAGCCATTTTAACAAGCATCCGTTACAACACAACACACAGAAACCTCTCAGTGACAAAACCCTTTCAGTAATATGCATACATTTAATCACTAACTGCTTTTAATGATGGAGTGATTAAATTAAAATAACAGGAAGTCAGTGTCTGACTCAATCAAAATCGGTCCGGCAGTCAAGGCATAACTACATTTTCATTAAGAGCTGCTATGGGAAGCATGCACGCCGTTACAACATCGTAAATTCAACAGACATGGACAACAGAAAGGATTTCTTTAATGTTTCTTTGTAATCAGGCATTAGCTGCCTAATAAAGAACACACAGCCCAATTAGCCTCCCATGATGCATCGCTGTTGTATAGTGTGGCTCTGCTTTGCTATGATGAAGACAGTGCCAGTGAGGAAGAAACACTGGGTATCTGATATGTTTTTTCAGGGCCGACTCCAATTAGCCTGGAAATCCAGACCCAAATCTAGAAAGATTTAGGGTCTGGCTATGAGTAATATAAATGGCCCAACTCGAGGGGCGGCACCAAGCATGCATTTGAAAATATCACTACGACCAATCAGAACAATACACGTGGTGACGTATCCAGAGCTTAGCTACCAGCGGAGCTAACTGGTAGATTAGACTCTTGCCGTATCCGGTTGGCAAAACAGCAAAAATGTCCTTCTTGCAAAGGAAAGATTTGAACGCCGTCTTCTGTTCCTCTTTTAGAGAAAAAGCCAAGTCTAACTCGTTCACTGTAGCGGCCAAAGCCGTTTCAAACAACTGGTGTTCATCCGTAGCCATCTTGCAGTGTTTACTGACTGTTTCCGGACTTCGTCGTCGCAGCGCTGTCGTCATCTGTTTAGCTCGCCTCTGGCCCGCCTATATCAGATACACCGATGTGATTGGTGCAGCTCGGCTACAAGGGCATGGGTAATGAGCATCATTACTGATTGCCAGAGTGACTCGCTGAGCAAATTCAAATTGTGCTCTCACGAGAACTCTGGATTTCCAGGGTAGACTCCGATACCGACTATTCGTAATCAGTAGTACACTGATGATTTGGAACCACGAGACGTACATTTGCGTCAAACTTCAGAATAAGACAAACTCCACAGCTCCAACAGAAAAATTGTTTAAATGTCTTTAAGCATCCTAATGTTAAATTACATGTTGGAAAAGAGAACTTTTGGACTGTCTCAAATTTTGAATCTCTAAGGACATCCCTGCACTGGATGATTGGTATAAGGAGATATGGAGAATTAACCCACTCGAAAATCAACATACGCCCTTCATGACAATACTGAGAGTTTATTAAAATATGACAACCCGTCTTGGACAAAGTGGACCCCTCTGGACTGGATTTGGTTACACTTGATTAACAACACGAGGGCTGACTACAGCATATCCTGGTAAATTGAATTTGACTGTTTCGCCTGGTGGTTATGTGTGTTTGTCTATTTATTTATTTAACCCCCTTTTGTTGTTTTCTTTTTTTTTTGGATTGTAATGGTATGGTTGTTACTCCTGCTGTTTTTGTGTTTGGTTCAAGGTGATTCAAATTATGAAAAAGGTAGTTCTGTAAATATCCAGTAATAGAGGTTTATAAAATTGTGGCTGGAACGTAATGAAAATAATTATCAAAAAAAGAGCCATTGTTCTTCCAACTTCACTGCGTGTGCTGCAGCCTGCTTTGCCTGGTGTTGGTGTGTTATACTCTCTGCAAGTGCATCTCAGAAACGCTACTTGCCAGTGGAGTTTATTGATTCAACATTGATTCAACTAAAGGCCTTTGCACACCGGCCAAAATTGTTGCACGTCTAAAATAAATACGACTTCACCTTGTGTCAATCACGTTTGGACACTGAGTCCAAAACTGTCTTTAAAATTTTCTGCGTATTTCACATCGGTCAGATCCTTTAAAGACGACTGACCAAGAATCAGTGAAGAAAATGTGGCGGCGGGACACAGCCGTGACAAAACAGAGGAACAGGGTGCAGAGTCATTTCAAAACTCAGACAGCTTCTTTCAGCAGGTCAGATAGTAATATTCAGGTGGATGATGATGAAGAGGAGGAGGATGTGGATGAGGACAGCTCCGCCTCTTCATGCAGCTGTGGTGCCAAATGAAAGTCAGGGAGGGAGTGGTGACAGTCAGATAGGTAACTCCAGTGCAGAGAGGCAAAGGAGGGAATGTGTCTTTTCATTTTGTCACATGTTGCGAATTTTCACAACGAATAGAACAATGAAACGCATCAGAATCAGTATGCAAGGTTTCTGTGCGTAAGGATAACACAGTCTCAGTGTGCAGAGGCTTTAACACACCTAAAACATAAATAAAACATGGCTTTATAGCATCAGTGTTACAAAAGTAAAAATTGGGCTCCATTATAACCCACAAGGTTCAGAGACAAAACAATAGTCTTTTGCTAAACATGTTTTCCCCACAAATACAACATACTAACGTTATTAGCATGACTCTATGGCATTTTACATTGCATAAATTAGCCTAGTGGCTAGCTGACTTTAACGATGACAAAAGTGACACTGCCTCATATAAATGGATCCATCATGGGTTGAATGTACACTGGGAAGTCTGCGTTACATGTCTAGTGTATGAAAGGTCTGTATTGTCAGTGACTGACTGTGTTTATGAACTAATCTCGTCACATTAATTGCACTTCCAGGTGCTGCCTCCACTTGCAGTTCTCAAACTCAAACAACTGAATTATCATCCAGTAATTATCATTAGACTAACAGCAGGACGTTACCATCAGAAACACAGAGTGTTTTTGCAGCTTGTGTAGGACTGTGATGTTTAACAACAGTAATATCTGCTGCCTTAAGTTTGGCACACAGCAGCTCAGTCTCTTGGCCTGTTTGTGGCACAGCAGCCTTCAGTGTTGATAAGCTATTACTTGTGACGTGTAACCAATCAGATCAATCAGGGCTGGACACTGAGGTTGGCAACAGAGAGTAGACTGCAGACGGAGGAAGGCACCAGCTCAGAGCCAAAGTAGCTCATTTCTCAATTAATTTATTTCATCGGCTCTTGGATGAAAAAAGAACAACTCTGATAATCCTAAAACTGCTGAATGTCGCAGCCAATTTGATCCTTAAAAAACACCACACACACATGTACCCACAGCTCAAACGCTGCATTCTCATTCTCACATGCCTCCTAAGTGTGACTGAAATCAACATGATGGCATCTTTCTAATACCTCTCTTTTCAGTGCTGACGGAGTGCAGCAGCTTCTCCTGTTGGTCCAGACGCTGCAGGAGAGCCTCCTGCTCGGAATCCCGACTCTGCCTGAGGGCCTTCAACTGATCCCTGGTCTGTTGTTGCTGCTTCCTGAGGCGCTGTTCTCTTGTGTTGCATTCCCGCACCTCCTCACACAGCCAGCGTATCTTGGTCTGGTTGGTTAAATAAATACAAAATCAAAGGGGTGAAGTAGGTTGCTCACTGGTTCTTACAGCAAAGGTTTTTATCAAAATGTTAGCGCACTGGGAAGGGAAGATCAGAGATGGCACCCTCCCATGTGTCTAACCCTTTTAGTGTCCTTTTTGAAGTAGGATGTGTGGTCCCCTGTGCGAAATTGGTTCCAGGTGGGCACTGCCCATTCCACTACCTGCATGGATATCTAAAGAGTCTGACTGAAGCGGCACCAAGTCCAGCTCACCAATCCAGGAGATGCAATTTGAGGGACTGACATTATATACTTGGCCAGTTTTTGTCAGTTGTGGCAGCTGGGATTTCTCTTTAACAGCTCACCACTGAGTCTCTCTGATTGTGTGTTGCCTAATAGATGTGTTGAGGGTTTTTCTGAACTAACTTTCAGGCATTTGTTTGAGAGTAAGTCAGGTATATTTCAACCTGGACCCTATTTTAGGACATGTTCGCACCCTCGATAAACGTCCACTGAAAGTGCTTGTTTTTGCCACTGACAGGCTCAGGTTGTGAGTTTAAGGGTGCTTTCAGACCTAGAGTCGTCTCCTTTGGTCTGAATCAGGGACTCATGTTGTTCCAAAGTTGTATAATTGCCTAGAGTTGGTTCATGTTCTCACGGCAGCATTTACAAGCGGACCAGATCAAATGCCTTGTGTGAGAAAGCTGCTCTTGATTGGTCAGAATTTCCATGAGGGAAAAATCCAGGAAGTAAAGCAAACGTTGAAGAAGAGTACACTTGCAAGATAAATGTGACACTTTCTAATGTCACAATGGAGGGACAACTACGCAGGTTGATTTTAGCGCTGCTCATCGTGGACTATATTGCTGTCATTGTTCATTTTAGTCAAACCATACAGTTTGAAAACGAGGCGCGGCTCCAACTAGAAAACAATGTTTTGATGCATTGGATGTGCTGAATGTGCATATTAAGGCAGTACAGGAGGAGGTGCACATTAATAATGCTCCAGGACTGTAACATGCTCATGTTTAACCCAAACAATGTGTCATGTGACTGCAGTTGCTTCACATCCAGGTCGGAACACATTCTCACCACAAACCAACCGCACCAGAGTTCGTTTGTAACTGGACTGAGACCACCTCTTCAAGAAGGTCTCAGTCTGGAGTGCGATTGTTGTGTTCACACCTGCCTGAACGAACCACACAACCAAACAGGGCAGGTGTGAAAGCACCCTTAGAGTATGATGATCCTTTCTCTTTTACTACAAACAGTCCTGGTTTGCTTCACTCACCAGCCTAAAAAACAAACAAAAACAGTGGTAGTCTGCTGAGTTGCTGGCATAGACTGTACACACTACAAATGTTCTTGTTCAGAAGCGCTGGGAGCTGAACTTGACTGTTTTTCGTTCTCATCGCTTGGCTAGAGTAGTCAGGTTTTAGTGTTTTGTGCTTTAACTTTTAGGTAAAGCAGTAGGTGTGTTTTATTGTCAAGAGTCCTCCTTTGGTTAAATTTATTTATTTTGATTTTGAACAGCGCCCACAGGCCCTTCCTTCCTCTGCAGTTTGCCTTGTTGTATTTGTGAAAATCTAAGTTCCTGGTTAAATAAAAAACTTTATTTTACCAGTCCCATCTGGTTTTATGTTGTTTCCCTGGTGAACTTGGTCGTGACAATTTCCAGACCCATTTCTTATGATATAAATGTATTTTCCTTACACATAGAGTGCTGTGCTTCAATTGGATTTTTCAGTTAAGCCTAAAATGAAGTCAATGCAAAGGAACATAATTAAGTCACTAAAACTGTCTGATGTAAGAACAGGATGAGGGAATTCTGTTTTCCCTTTAAAGCCAAATCCTTTCATAAAAAATCCATCTTTATTCCTCCTCTATTTAAAAGGTTTTTTGCTCCAGTTCAAGCTGCAAGTTCAGAATTCTCTTGACTTCTCTCTGAACACAAAATATAGTTCGTCATATTTTAGTCATTTTAACTTTAGTGTTTAACTCGAGCTCAGAAAAGAGCACAGCCAAACTGAGTGTGATTAAAGTCCAGAAAAAATACAGCAGCCCAGTCACAAAGTGCTGAGCACGCCGTCAATGCAACAGGGAATGTAAATAAATTGACAATGTTTCATACACAGGGTTGTTACAGCCACACAATGTGATTGGTTAAATGGCTCTTCTAACTGTGCTCTATAAGCCTGTAAATCATACCAAGATGTTACTTTCATAAAAACTGCTAACTAGGGAGCTAATTATCTCTCTTGCTCTCTGGTGTTTTATTCTTGTAAATGCAGAGTGCTCTGAAAGCACATCTGACAGGAGGTATACGTTATGGTGATAAACACTATGAGTTGTGCAAACACATTTAAGCAAAGTGTCATTCATCACCGCCACCGCCATAATTACATGTTTCTTTTGTACCGTACATCACTGCATTGTAAATGGGAACTGATTCGTCTTGGAAGGCGACCAAGTGGCAACTATTATTGCAAAAGACAGGAAGACAACAGCAAGAAGGCAACACATTAAAGAAAAACTGCATCTCGTCATTTCATCAATTACGAGAGCCTCACTAACGCACAACATCATGTTAACCATGAAGCTGCTTTAGAAGAATGAGAGTCAGTGAAACAGTTCACTATGACTGAAGAGAAGTGCAATTTACAGTTGCCCTTGCCCTCATAATTATTATGGAAAGACATTCTGTCACAAATCCCTGAACTTCACAGTTTCATTATGATCACTGCTGACTCTCAGCACACATCAGTGCTCTGCTGTGGAAAGTGGTTTCCTCAACAATAAATCATCTTTTCCTGAGACTTTATGCCATGGTAAATGTTGGTTTTAACAAGCAAAAATACAACCATATGTGGGGAGTACATTTTATTTTGAGTCTGCACGGACCAAATCACATTGATTACATATATTCTGTGTTGTTTTTCATTAATCTTCTATACAGTGTAGGCCTGAGACTGAGCGATGATTATGGTAACACAGTCCAATGCTTAATCTTGTGTTTTCTGGATTATATCATCGGCATTTAGACAAATCCCCTGTGAGGAAGACAGTACAGCTGTGAGTAATAATCATACCTTTGTCTCAGCCAGCCAGCGGTGAGGGTCTTTCACTAATCCAGGTTTCTGGGAGATCGCCTGTTAAAACAGAACAGAGATTAATGTAAATGTGAGCCGCCTGTGTTAGCATACATTACTAAACATTCTGTCCTTAAAAGACCCACACTGGTAAGAAGTGCAGATCTAAGAGATTTTAGGATTATATGAATGTACAGTAAGTTGTCTAACAGGGGTGTAACGATTCTTTAGACCCACAGTTCGGTTCCTCGCTTGTTCATACTTTGTTTTATCAAAGCACATACAAGAACATTGAGGTGGATTTACTTGAACTATAGAGCTGTCAACGTTAACGCATTGATCCTGATGCAATTAAGGAAAAAAAAAACCTGCATTAATCGCATGCTACCTTTTCATCCCTTTGATGTAACATAGTCAAGAAGGGGTCAAGATTTAACCTGTTATAATTGTCAAATTTGTGGTAAAGTTGCAGTGTTTGGACAAAATTGCAAGGTCGTGCAAAATTCACAGGAATCGGCTGAATTTTAATTAACTGTTGCAATCATGGCAGCATGGTTAGCATTGTCGCCTTATAGCAAGAGAGTTCCCGGGCCGAATCCAGGGTTGGGTGTTCGAACCCAGGGTGGGGGAGCCCCTCTGTGCAGAGTTTGCATGTTCTCCCTGTGTCAGAGTGGGTTTCCTCCAGATGCTCCAGCTTGGAGCTTGAATGAATGCTGCTATCACAACATCCTGGAGGAACCCACATCGAACGTTATGAAAGCTTAGCGGGCTGCAGTGGTTGTGGTGTTAGCAGAGTGAGGGGAACGCATCACAGAAGATGGAACCGCATCATGAGTACCATGGACGTTTGTGCTGCGGTTTCGGTCTCGGCTTCAGACCTGTTATACCCCTACTGTCTAAACAGACACAAAGATATATGAAGAAACATCCGAGGATTTATAGAATGTAAAAGAAACAGTGATTATAAATGTGAGGAGACAAACAACAGGATACAAATCAGAGGAACAGCCTCTTGTCAAACCCTGAACTTTTGTGAAGAACGGCCTTCTGCCAACTTAAATTGCGGTGCGTGTGTGTTTAACAGCCTATGACATGACACTACACTTGTGCATGCACACACGCCTACACACAGAGGTTGTGTGTGTGTCATAAAAATGAGCTCAGGGAGTATGTTCCATCCTTCCCAGACAAGCCTGTCAGCATCAGCAATACAAACTGACTGTCTGCCAACTCCTAATGACTGCTGACACACACATACACACACACACGCACACACAACAACACACTCTTAAGACAAAAGGACACTCAGATACACAGATAAACACAGTCACATAACGAGATGGCACTCAGCTGAGTACGCCTCCGCCAACACGATGCAGCTGTTGAGATGAGCCAGCTTCACATGTGGATTTTTTTTTTTTTTTTCCCCCCAAAGGTTAACAATCCCCTGAATGCATCATTACCCGCCTGTCTGACATGAGGAGATGAACACATGTGTATGCCAGTATGTAAAGTGGAACATGAGATATGCCTGTTCTAATTGTAAACGTTTTAGTTTATTATCGACGCCTCATGTAGCCAGTCAGGTTTCTGTCTGTTCAGGGGCCATTATGGTTGACTTTAACCACTGCACCAGGTTTCAGAAGCACTGGAGTAACAGGTCATCATTTTTAGATAGTGACGATACAGACAGGAAACTCAGAGAAAGACAAGAGCATGAAATGCAGCCACTGCACCACAAGGTCACCTTAAAGTGGCAGTCCAAATCCTCTGATTTAGCCAATAACGGTGGGTTTGTCTTTTCCTATGTTTACTGATGGCTTAGACAAGACCAAGTGGACACTCAGAGCGAGAGCAGACCGGCATTATAACAACACAAGGAGCTGCATTGCTTCAAGTACCAATGAGACGTGAAATAGGTTCATGGTAATCCAGTTTGAGTAAGAGATCTGTGAATCTGAAGGCCCGTCAGAGGCCAAATCACTGCACAGCAACATAGTTTTCTTTACAAAGATTTTGGTACCCGAAGTGTTCTGGTTTTCCGTTTGGAATTCGGTTGTAGTTCAAGATATTTCAGCTTGTTGACATATTGACGTCATATAGTTACCCAAGGCGACAACAAGCATGGCTGAAAGCAAATTTATTAGCTACTCCACAGTGGTTCCAAAAAGAGGAGCAGCTTCAGTAGTGCGTCCTGAAACTTTTACTTCTCAGACTCTTTTAGTGACTTACCGCTCAGAGGGAATTCATTCAGCGGCTCCTCTGGCAGCAGCACAACGTCTCTCCCTCTCCTCTCGCAGTGCGCACACAGGAGTCGGTGTTGTCAAGTGATTTTGTCATATTTGGTAATGTAAACCTACGTGACGCTCCCAGCTTGACAAAAACCTACTTTCATGTGAATGTGCAATAGCGCTAATATGTCATATTGTCAAGAACATTGTAATTGCAAAAATACTCTGAAATACTGTGATATTACTTTAGGGCCAGATCACCCACCCCTAATAGTGATATGTCTTATCGCAATACTCAGCATATCGCAACATATTTAAAATAGCAATAATATTGTATTGGGACTTAAGCATCATGATAATATCGTATCGTGGATCTTCTGGTGATTCCCACCCTTAACCGACCCCAGGTTGTGGTCTGACCCTCTCATCATGTGACATACTAATCAGAGATTCCTCATGGTGAAAGCTCTTGCAGCGTGTGACCCCGTTGCCGGTCAGTCATTTAGTGCCCAAACCACGACTTCCAAGACTCCCAATTTCAAGTCAGCAAGCTGTGCAGGGTGACCACCACAGCAATCTGATGACTTTGAAAGTAGTGTAATGTGAATTTAGCTTAATTTATCCTTAATTTATCCCTTATCCTTAAACTGAAGCTGATTTGTTTTGCAGGTATTGGAATAAAAGTCAAGGGATTACAAAATGTGTGCACCAAATTTCATGACAAACCATCTAATAGTTAGCAACACATTTCAGTCAGAATTACAAATGTCAACCTCATGGTGGCGCTAGAAGAACAGTAAGGTGATCCCCAAAATTTCAATACATCATGTTGGAACATGAATGTCTGTACCAACTTTAATGTTTAATATTTGATACTTCAGTCTGGACCAAAGTGGTGAACTGACCATCTGTTTAAAGGTATATGCCTGTTAGATGGAGGTCACACTCTCCTATGGTATATGAAAAATAAATAACTGCATCTTTGCACCATGACCAACCTTTCCAGAAGGGTTTTGTGCAAATCCATTTTTAGCAGATATCCTGCCACCCTGCAAACACTCAGAGGCAGAGCACAACCACAACTCCCAACCTGCTGCACAGGTGAAAACAAAAAAGCCAGAAGACATAACAAACACAACTTCACATGAACAAACTCACACACAGCCGTGAACAAAGTCAACAAAAAGTACAACCGTTTTTTTTTTTCAAGTACACCCTTGTGGCAAGGTGTTTACCCATGATCAACAGACATGGAAAGCACCCAGCAGGATTTTTTTGGACTCTTTCTGTCCCGTGCTTTGGCAAACAACATCGTCACTGCAGAGGTGTCAAGCAACTTTTTCAAGCTGTCATTCAAAACCAGATCCAAGCGAAACGAATTTCCCAAGTTGTTGCCACGGCAGCTCAAAGTGGGGTGGTGGAGTGCTGCTGTGCAGAGGTCCCCGTCTCAGGGAGTGTACAACCGCATGGCAGAGCGTGTGACTGCGTGGGAGGATAAAACATGCCTCTATGCCTCTCGCTCTCTTTACTCTTTTCCAAACCATCAAAGGCAGCTCTGTGCAGTGGCAGACAAAAAGGAGGTGAAACTGGTGAAAAACTGAACAAGTAGGCTGGGAGTTGAAAGTGCTGTCTGTGGGGTTGCAGTGAAAGAAATGCCACTATTTTCTCAGCAGCACCGCCGTGGAATCCAAGTGTCTGCCACCTCTAATTTAAATGTGTGACTGCGTGGTTTGTATGTCGCTCTCAGAATGCGAGTAAATCTACGACTGTGTGTCTTTGGTTACAGTTTGTTTGTTTCACTTCCCGCTGAGAAAATGGTAAAGATGGCAAAGTTTAGAGGGAAGCAGAAGACACAGATGTTAAAGACTAACAACAAGTGGAAAGGGCAAAGTAAGATGTTTTTACAGAGATTACCACTGTGGCATTTCTCTTCATTAAACACTTTAAAGTGACGGGAGGAAGGAAAGATTGAGACTGTAACAACAAAAAATGACAAATGTCCCAGGCTGGATTCAAATTTCGCCATTACATGCTGTTCACTTGTTTGAGCCAGCTGACTCCACAAGAAAAGACAATGTGGACAGAAAGTCACAAGTGAGACAGAGAGGGACAGTGTCAGGGCTTGAAGCAAGAAAAAAAAAAAGAAAATTTCTTTGGGGGGGGGGGGCAATTTTAGGCGAGGAACATCTTCTATCCCTCTGAATTGCAGCCCCCAACCTGTAGCCATTTCTCTCTCTCTCTCTCTCTTTCTCTGTGTGTGTGTGTGTGTGTGTGTGTGTGTGTGTTTTCATCTCTCTCGTGTCTAGACCAAACTGAACAAATATTTTATAGACGGACAAGCAACATCATAATTAAACAGGCTTTTATTTTTAAAATTTATTTTATTTTGAAAATTGTCCGGATTCTCTCGTCTTTTCTGTGACTGACTTCCTGTTTGGTACGATCCGCTCTATCCAGCTTAACAGAAGCGCTCGCAGCTTGCGTGAAAAATAGACCAGACGCCGAACTGAAGCACTGCAGTGCGCGAGCCTCCGTGGGCGCTCCGCTTTGCTCAGCGGCCTGTGTGGACAGTCAGTCAGATAGGTTAACATGGGCGCCGATTGAAAACTGCCTCCGCTACTGGGCGCTGCGCTTTGAATATTCCTGCGCCGGAAATCCAGCACCGTGCCGAAGACCTGCAGTGTAGTAACCAAGATGAGGAACACCACAAGGTTTAGCATTTAAGATAAAAACTAAAATTACAGCTTTGTGGTTGTATGCTTCCGCAAACCTGTCAAGTTGCAGTTACAATTTACATCCATGTCTGTGAAAACACAAATACTTCACGCA